CTCCCATCCGGTCACATGGGCGGCAAGCCACTCCCACAAAGGAGGCCACACCCACAGAGTAGGTTCGAACAATTTTTGAAACCCACCACTGACTTTGGCGAAAGCAGGGAAGGGAAATCAGAACACGGTGACTGGAAGAAAAAAAACAGAAAAGGAAGGGAATCAAGTAGATTAGTTGAAAACATTTGGCAAAAACACAATGTCATTGATTTGGACATCAAAAGGATACCTGCCAATAGGAGTCAGGACAAAAAGGCAAAAAAAAGTGGAAAAAAGGAGAAAACAGAGAAAGCAACAGAAAGTGGAAATTCTCAATAGGTTCTTTCTTAAATTATAATGAACATTTTCAAAACTGATCAAGTGTAATGGGTAAGGACACTGCTTTAATGTTGAAGGGAGAAGAAAAGAGGAAATGGAATCTTTGCTGCAACAGCTGCTAAAACATTGCAACAAGCATTGCCCACTGTAATATTTTATTGCAGTATTTCTCAAACTTAGCAACTTTAAAAAATGTGTGGAATTGCAGAATTCCCCAGCCGCTAAGATAGCTCAGGAATTCTAGGGGTTCCTACATCTTAAAGTAACCAAGATTGAGAACCAGAGATTTATTGAATTGTTTAAGCGGCTGTGGCATTTAGTGCTCAACGACACCATTTTGCATGTTCAGAAATTTATAATCCTGGCTGCAAGTTCTGAGCAACAGAAAGTCACTTCTTTCATTCTCTGTTTTAAAAAAAAACTTTTGTCCAGTGGATGATGCCTTTGCACAGACTGTAAAAGAAATATTTGGAGGAGAAGCTGATAAGAAAAATCTGGTGGATCCCTTCGTGGAAGTCTGCTTTGCTGGAAAAAAGGTATTTTGTGCTATAGTTTATAGTTTATAGTTTTAATTTATTTGTATGCCGCCCTTTTCCCTAAGGGGACTCAGGGCGGCTCACAACTCAAAGGGAGGGGAAAAACAAACAGAATTACAAAAACATTAAAAAAAAAAACTGTATTGTACTATACAGCCATGGATGAGGTGCCTGATAACCGTTCTTGTCTGAATAAGTTTTCACAGAGACCAAACAACAAAAATCTATTGTGGTCTGGATAAACTTACATTTATTTAGAAATGAACAAAGTTACATTATTTTTATATTTTTAGGGAAATCATTGTACGTTGTTACCATTAGTTATATGCTAAATACATTAGAACGGAGCAGAATGTATTTCAATTAATATCTTTAACTACAAAAACATTCGTATGTAAAAATATATGTATTTTATATTGCTTGAAAAGACCTGGTCTATTAAAAGTAAGGAGAGTGACTACTTAGATGGAAGGCTGCCAGTGAAGACCAGGGCTTTGAGGTAGCAATAGCAATAGCAGTTAGACTTATATACCGCTTCATAGGGCTTTCAGCCCTCTCTAAGCGGTTTTTA